GGTACTGATCTTTTCTGTAAACTTCGTTCTGTCTTTTTGACTTCCTGTATATGGCCTTAAAGTCAACTGCGATTTAAACACCGACAAACGCCCACTTCATGCAGGTGTCCATACCATACCGGTTTAGTGCCACTATTAATGGACTTTTCGCTGCTTGAGATCGTTGCTTCTGTAAACAGTTAACAACAAACTTCCTATTCTCGAATCGGTATTGAATTACTCCTACTTGAAATAACTCTTCGTAAGTTTACTATTGGTGTTATCGCACATGTCTGCATCATATTGAGTTACGTGTGTTCGTATCTCTTTCCAATGATAAAACAAACGTTATTCGTTTTTTGTGTAAGTGCAGTAAACCAAACTTGGGGAAAAGAACTGATGTTTAACAATAATAAAGTCCGTATTATTACGTTCAATGGGAAACGGTCATTATCGCTTGCCCCCACTGCATGAGAGAAGGTAAAATACATTGGTTTTGTGGATATGTGAATACAAGGTGGTTATATACAATTATATTAGATACGAGCTGGTATCCATATTTATTCGAGGCATATATCGAGGTATATTGATCTGATTAAATTTTCGATTAAATTATTCACATACTTTTTATTTGTACCTTTTAAACTATTCAGGATCTCATCATATCCTCTGTCCCCAGTATTATCATCTAAGTCGGCACTGGTTTAATACCTCGTCATGTGTATTCGGTATAGTTGGTTGCATAACTTAAGAAATGTTTCGTGTCCGTATTCCATATCTCTAAACTCTCATTGATGAATTTAACATGAAAAGATAAATAATACATAGACAAGACAAAAAGGAAACCTAAAACATATGCGTACATACTTTCTAGTGTATTATTATTACCACGACACCGCCACCAAAACTGTCTACACTTCGATTAATTAAACGAATGACATGTCATGATCATGGTATTTTCATTAAGTGTATCTACAGTTAACCTAATTATGTATGTATGAGTACAGCACCTGGTAATTTTCCTAGGCAGAAATGGAATCATATTCATTGTGAGAGTGGTGCTTTGTTTGGCCAATTGAGAGACAAAACTAAACTTACTAGTACAAAAGGACGAGAAATTCGATACAGTGTGAAACTGCGTAGAGAGTGTGTCAAACTATGGCCGAGTTTGTAACTGATACCATCCACAAGTCAATATGAAAATAACCCGCAGTAGAGATTATGAATTTGAAGGTAATAACAAATTGATATGTAAGGACACCGTATTAATGTAAACATCTTTTGTCTGTCTATTTACATGGCCATAGAAATACACACATCGATTTCACACGCTTGCAATGATATCCATGGTCTTAGTTTTGACCTTGTCATTGATGGACTGATTGGCCAATTTTGACTCTTGGGATCATTACACTCCATTCAAACTGTCCTACTTTCTTAAGCTGGTCATCCTTCGATGCACTCATCTAAAAACTCCCACGGATTCATTACGAGGCACACGGCATAGAGGGCGCTATATATATAGAAAGCTTCACAAAATATATAATAAGGATCGTATACTTTATACATTCAAGTGTCCCGTGTTGTGCTTGCTCAGAATGCCAAAATGTTTAATTTATTAGAGAATCCGTTGGATGCGTGGTAATTATGTTGCCATTTGTATATTATACCCTTTTTAAGAACGCATATTTCGATTACTGTCAGAATCATTTAGAGAATAGTGGTAAATGGTATATATAAGGGACACGTATCCAGTTACTCGATGTTCTTTTCACTATTTCACGATTTTATTATTTTCATTTACACATCACGTATAAATCTGTAAGATCCATGTCCTATCATCATTAGTCATTTGTTAAATCTGTAAGATCCATGTCCTATCATCATTAGTCATTTGTTAAACCTGTAAGATTCATGTCCTATCATCATTAGTCATTTGCTAAATCTGTAAAATCCATGTCCTATCATCATTAGTCATTTGTTAAATCTGTAAGATCCATGTCCTATCATCATTAGTCATTTGTCAAATCCGTAAGATTCATGTCCTATCATTATTAGTCATTTGTTAAATCTGTAAGATTCATGTCCTATCATCATCATTAGTCATTTGTTGAATCTGTAAGATCCATGTCCTATCATCATTAATCATTTGTTAAATCTGTCAGATCCATACCCTATCATCATTAGTCATTTGTTAAATCTGTAAGATTCATGCCCTATCATCATTAGTCATTTATTAAATCTGTAAGATCCATGACCTATCATCATTAGTCATTTGTTAAACCTGTGAGATTCATGTTCTATCATCATTAGTCATTTGTTAAATCTGTAAGATCCATGTCCTATCGTCATTAGTCATTTGTTAAATCTGTAAGATCCATGTCCTATCATCATTAGTCATTTGTTAAACCTGTAAGATTCATGTCCTATAATCATTAGTCATTTGTTAAATCTGTAAGATCCATGTCCTACCATCATTAGTCATTTGTTAAATCTGTAAGATCCATGTCCTATCATCATTAGTCATTTGTTAAATCTGTAAGATCCATGTCCTATCATCATTAGTCATTTGTTAAATCTTTAAGATTCATGTCCTATCATCATTAGTCATTTGTCAAACCTGTAAGATTCATGTCCTATCATTAGTCATTTGTTAAATTTATAAGATTCATGTCCTATCATCATTAGTCATTTGTTAAATCTGTAAGATTCATGTCCTATCATCATTAGTCATTTGTTAAATCTGTAAAATTCATGTCCTATCACCATTAGTCATTTGTCCATTTAATGTGAGCAACAGGTGGTACGAGTACTTCCCAAT